GTGTGAACTTGGAAAACTCCCCACCTACTTCCGTTACCCTGGAGACCAGCCCCATCCTTCCCTGTTACATTTCTAATCCTAAACATGTTACCTAGGAAACAGGCCCATCCTTCCATTTCCCTCAAGACTAGGGACCAGGCCTACCCTATCCTGTTACCTAGGAGACCAGTTCTATCCTCCTGAGTTACCTTGGACACCAGATACAACCTCCTTTGTCACTTAAAAGATAATTAAATACTCTCCCTATTTCTGAAAAAATACTAATTCTGTCTTCTCTAGTTAGTTACCCGGGAGACTAGCCTCACTCTCCTGTTCCCCTGGATATCAGGCCCTCTCCCTCCAACCCTCAAACAACACCAATCACCTAGGACAGTGATGGCAAACCTATGACACGCGTGTCAGAGGTGACACGCGAACTCATTTTTTTGGTTGATTTTTCTTTGTTAAATGGCATTTAAATATATAAAATAAATATCAAAAATATAAGTCTTTGTTTTACTATGGCTGCAAATATCAAAAAATTTCTATATGTGACACGGCACCAGAGTTAAGTTAGGGTTTTTCAAAATGCTGACACGCCGAGCTCAAAAGGTTCGCCATCACTGACCTAGGAGAACAATTTCTCCTTCCTACCCTCTTGTCACCTAATCCAAAACTTCTCTGTTGCTTAAGAGATCAAGTCTTGCCTGGCCAGCATGGCTCAGTAGTTGAGCGCTGACCTATGAATCAGGAGGTCACGGTTCAATTCCCAGTCAGGGCACATGCCCAGGTTGCAGGCTCAATCCCCAGTAGGGAGCATGCAGAAGGCAGCCAATTGGCGATTCTCTCTCATCATTGATGTTTCTATCTCTCTCCCCCTCTCCCTTCCTCTCTGAAATCAATAAAATATATTTAAAAAGAAAAAGTGTCTTAAAAAAAAAAAAGATCAAGTCTTCCCCCCTAGTCCCAGAGCATCAGCCCCATCCTCCCTCCCAAGCCCCATGCCCAGTACCTGGGAGACCAGGCGCTGGTTCTCATTCAGCCAGCTCTCCCTCATGGCCACCTTGTGGTCAAACCTCTGGGCCAGGAGTCCCAGCTTCTCCTGCCGCGTCAGCTCCGCCCGAAGGGCAGCCTCCCGCTCATGCTCTGCCTTCTCCAGCAGGCCCCAGGCCTAGGGAACAGAGTGGGCGGGCAGACTCCAGTAACTCTCCTCCTTTAATGGCCCCGCTTTCTCTAAGGCAAGCATGTCAAACTCACGGCCCATGGGCCACATGCAGCCCACAACAAATATTATAGCAGCCCAGCCAATATAACAGTATGTAAGAAACACTTTAATAAAAATGTCATAACTTAATTTTTACCATATCCTGTTATACATAATTATTAATAACGAACTCAACATTCGCCAATGACTGATTACAATAATCGTGTTGCATTCATTTCCCTTATGCACCTTAGTGCAGGCACACCATTTCTCTCCACTAATACTAGCAGCGAATATGTTAGTTTTGTACTGACTTGTTTGGTGTGTGCAACAGGAAATATTTCGCTTTCAGAGAACAAGAAAAATAGGTTTATTTGCATTACGCTTATTAATTTGTGCAGTTATTCAGTGTCTGGTAAGTTAATGTTCAAGAAAAAATGTTAATTTTTATTAAAATGTTCTTTTATTTTATGTTAACAATTACTCATTTATTTCAGCCCTTTTATTTGGCCCGTGTTAGCCTTTGAGTTTGACATGCTTGGTCTAAGGTCACTCCTAGGACTAATGGCACTTTTGTGCAAATTAGAAAAAACACGTTGCTTCCTCATGACCCATTACTGCTGGAAAACTGTCAGAATGAATATCCAATCCACAATGTCTACATGGGAATGGCTCCCTTGAGCAGGGAACACCCTACACAACTCCACAGAGCAACGCTGCCACCCACACCCTCAGCCTCACCTTGTCGATATCCCAGATGCCACAGCCCTCCCGGGGCACGTAGAGGCGGCGGTTGCAGGCACGCAATTTGCTCTGGATGCTGAAGAGCAGCACCTCCAGGTTCCCCTTCTCCTGAAACCTGAGGGTGCTTGAGCTCAGGAGCCCGCCTCCACACCTCCACCTGCTGCCCTCCCTCCCAAGCTGGGCCTCACTTGGCGGGCTTCTCCAGGGTGCAGTAGGCCATGAAGGCCTGGAGCTGCTGCTGCACCCCGCTCAGGGAGTTGGCGAACTTCTGGTTGCTGATGAGGCCCACAGTGCGGCGGATCCAGGCCAGCAGCTCGGTCGCCAGCTCCTCGTAGCGCTCAATGATCTTCTCCACCTCCAGCACCTGGTCCAGGACCTGGCCCACACGGGAAGGTGGGTCAGCCTCACACAGGTCTGCCCATGGGATGCCCAGGCTCCCACCCACCCCATTCCTTGGTTCCTCATACCTTCCCAATCCGCTTCCCCTCCACAGCCAGAGCCTTCATCTTGGAGAAATAGTGGTAGAAAGAGACCACATAGGTGATGATGGACTTCTCATCCGGAGCCTCCATGTTGACATCTGGGGGGTAAGGGGAAGTGGGGGAGCATGACAGTGAGCATTCGAGCAGAGGGATAGATGGTATTGGGGCGGGAGGGAGAACCCACTCTTTTAAAAAAATTTACTGATTAATTTTAGAGAGAGAGGGGACGAGAGAGAGAAATAAACGTCGATTTTGATGTTCCACTTAGTTGTGCATTCATAGGTTGCTTCTTGTACATGCCCTGACCGGAGATCGAACCCACAACCTTGGCATAGCAGGACAAGGCTCTAACTAACTGAGCTACCAGCCAGGGCAAGAACCCACTAGCTGTGTGACCACTGGCAAAATAACCAACCTCTCTCTGTTCCTTAATTTTTGAGTTATTGGAGCGGGAGGGAGAACCCACTCTTTTTTAAAAAATTTACTGATTAATTTTAGAGAGAGAGAGGACGAGAGAGAGAAATAAAGGTCGATTTTGATGTTCCACTTAGTTGTGCATTCGTATGTTGCTTCTTGTACATGCCCTGATCGGAGATCGAACCCACAACCTTGGCATAGCAGGACAACGCTCTAACTAACTGAGCTACCGGCCAGGGCAAGAACCCACTAGCTGTGTGACCACGGGCAAAATAACCAACCTCTCTCTGTTCCTTAATTTTTGTATTTGACAAATGGGGCCTACCTCATGGGATTAATAGTGCCTGACACATATAAACCACAATAGAGAAAGTATCTATTATTGTTATCATTTTATTTTTTGTTAACCCTCACCAGAGGATATTTTTTCCATTGATTTTTAGAAAGTGTGGAAGGGAAGTACAGAGAGAGAGAGGCATAGGTGTGAGAAAGACACATTGATTGGTTGCCTCCTGCATGCTTGGGAAGCAAACCTGCAACCCAGGTATGTGCCCTTGACCAGAATCAAACCTGCAACCCTTCAGTGCTCGGGCTGATGCTCTAATTACTGAGCTCACCAATCTACCTTCCACCTCAGGGCCTTTGCACACACTATTCTTATATTCTTATTGTCTGGAACACTGTTTCCTCTTCTGTGTGCCTAACTCCCACTCATCCTCCAGGGCTCAACTCAAATTTGCTCAGACAAGTCTCCCTGTTCATCCTGTCTAGAGTTGGTCTCTTGTTATTCTTCCTCAGAGCATCTTATCATTTCCTCCTAGTTCCTTCCAAATTTCTTATCATAATTTGCAATTAGATATTCACTTATGTGATTATGTCCTTATCTGCAGTTTGAGCTCCAGGAGCACATGGACTATGCCTGTCTTTCTAACCACTCTCCCTGCTATGCCCAGAACACAGTAGCGGCTCAATAAATATTCACTAAGTGAATGAGTGGTTTATGAGGTTTGAGGTTAAGGACATGGCATTTGGAGGCAGCATGAGCTTGAATCCAAGCTCAACCACGTACTGCATGGTCCTTAGAAAATAGACCTGCCCGGCTGGCATGGCTCAGTGGTTGAGCGTCAACCTATGAACCAGGAGGTCACGGTTCAATTCCCAGTCAGGGCACAGGCTCAGGTTGCGAGCTCAGTCCCCAGTGTGGGGTGTGCAGGATGCAGCCGATCAATGATTCTCTTTCATCATTGATGTTTTTATCTCTCTCTCCCTTCCTCTCTAAAATCAATAAAAATATATTTAAAAAGAAAGAAAGAAAATAGACCTAACTTCTCTAAGCCTCAGTTTTCCCATTGCTACAGCAGGGACAGTCACAGTGCCTGCCGCCTAGGAAGACTAAGTATTATAAAGACTAGCTGCCACAGAAGAAAAACTCAACAAATTCTAACAACCATTTTAATTAATGCATGGAACGCGCAACCTTATACGCAGCTCACCTCGTGAAACTGATGTTCACTACACACCTACCATGTGCTAGGCACTGAGCACTAAATACAGGGCAAGCAGGGGAATGATTAAGACCATGAAGTCTGGAATCAGAAGTCCTGTTTACTGGTTTTCAGTGTGACCCTGTGCCAGTGACTTCACATCTCTCACCCTTCAGTTTTCATCGCTTTAAAACAGGATTAATCAAGTTTGTCCAACCAGGTCAGTGTGAGGATGAAAGGGAACAGTTTTGATCAAATTCCCAGCCATGTGCTTGGCACAGAGTAGATGCTCAGAAGAAGAGAGCAGCTGCTATTCCAGAGGTGGGGGATTGGTGTGGAGTGTGACCGTGGGTTGGGGATGAGGCTGAAGTCTGGGCTGGGGCTAGGGATGGACTGAAAATAGGAAGGAGCGGGGCTGAGGACAGAGCTGTGGATGGGGACAGACATCGGGATGGGCTGGGGATAGGTATGAGGTAGGAAGTGAGATTCATGGATGGGGAGAGGGATAATGTTGAGAAGGGCTTTGGGGTTAGGGATGGGACAGTGTTGGAGTTGGGTATGTGTTGGGTCTGGGGTTAGGGAGGGAGGGATGGGTTTGAGGGGAGATGATTGAAGACGGATTTGAGAAAGGGGAGATAGAAATGGAAATGGGTTGGGGTTTAAGATGGAGATGGAGAAAGTAAGGGACATGGGGATGGGCAGGGGGAGGGGATGGAGGTGGGGAGGGCAGGGGGCTGGGAGGGAACTTGGGATTTGGGGTGGTGTTGGGGTAGAATGGAATAGAGTTTGGGATGGCATTGGGGATAGCAGCCCCAAAGAGGGAACCAGGACTGGGGTCATGCAAGGCTCACCTTCAGGGTCCAGCAGACGTGCCAGCCCCAGGTGCTGCTCAGCCGTGCGGAAGGCTCTCTGCAGGTTGTAGTTGGTGTTGGACTTGGTGAGTTTGCTGAAGTCCACGAGATCGGGCCTAGGCAGGGGCACAGAGAGGGCAGGCAAGAGGCAGGCTCCAGAGCCAGTGAGCAAACAGGCAAAAGTCATCCTTGTGTGAGTCCTGCCCAGGGCGAGGGCGAGGGCGGGAGGGGCATGGCCCACGCAGGGAAAGCTGTGCGTGCTGGCACGTGTTTGCGCAGCACTTACGGTGGGCGTGAGCATTGCAGGTGTGAGGACACGTGTCTGTCAGACTTCAGGGTGCACACGGTCTGCTTGAGTGTGTTTCTATGCAGTGCTATGCAGTGGTTACAAGTGTGAGGGCTGCAGCCAGCCTGCCTGGCTCACACCCCAGCTCAGCCACTTCCTGGCTGTCATCTGGGTGAGCTACTTCATCTCTCTGTGCCTCCGTTTCGTCTTTCTCATTTGTAAAATGGGGATAGTAATAGCATCTGCCTCATAGGGTCACTGACTATTCAATGACTTATTGGAAAGCATTTAAAACGATTCTGGGTACACAGAAAGCACTCGATACGTGTTACCACTGTAAGCTGGGCACCATTACAACTTGTGAGTTTCTGGGTGTGTAGGTGCAGCTGGGTCTCCCCGTGTGTAGACGAGTGTGTGTGTATGGGTTCTGGTTCTGCCACACCAAAGTCCCTCCCAGCCCCCTAGTCTCAGTTTCCACAATCTGTCACGTGGATGGTCATCATGTGGGTGTGATTTGTCTGGGTGCCCACCTCTCAGCCAGGTCAGTGAGGCTCTGAGGTATGACTGGATGGGTGTGCACGGGGCCAGAAGGGCTCTCTGGGGCGCACCAAGAGAAAGGACTCTGATGGGAGAAGGTGCTGTGCACACACTCAGGTGGACCATCCACGGGGGAGTGAACTCTCCACCCTGGGGACAGCAGGCACAGGCTGTGTATGTCCTGAGTGTCTGTGTGCACACATCTGTGTGAAGGCTAGCATGTTTCCACGTGTGCACAGGGTATGTGGCCTGGGCAGAGGTCTATGTGGTGTGTGCACCTGCGTGTGTGAAGGGGAATGTATATGTGCACAGAGGTGAAGGCACAAGTCCTGTGTCTGTGATCGTCTGTATACATATATGCACAGGCATGTACCTGAGAAACGTGAGGCAGGGGGAGGGCAGGGCTGGGTTGCCACAGACCAGGCAGTACCTGTGCCGGTGAATGAGGGCGTTGAAGGCCAGGCCGTCCCGCCAGCTGGTGGTGAAATTCTGGATGTTTACCTCTGGGTAACTAGCAGCATGGAAGGGAGAGATAGAGGCAGAGATGGAGAAAGTCAGGAGGGGAGAGGGAGAGAGGGAGAGACAGACATGGATGGATGGATAGATGATAGATAGATAGATAGATAGATAGATAGATAGATAGATAAATGGATGATACAATGAGCCAGGGAGATAGAGATAGACATAAAGATAGAGACAGAGAGAGATTGAAACAGACAGGAGAGGGGTAAAAAAAGAAAGAGGGGCAAAGGGAGGAAGGAATAGACAGAAAGGAGGGAAGAAGGGATGGACAGACAGAGAGACAGAGAGAGCAAGATACAGAGATGGGGAAAGAAAGGAGGGGGAGAGAGAGACAGAAAGGGAGAGAGTAGGGAGGGAGGGGAAGAGAGATAACAAAGAAAAGCAGACATACAGGTAACCACTGATACAGGGAGAAACAGATCGCACTGCAAGACAGACAGCCCCAGAAGGATGAGGGACAAGGCCCAGTCTCCTCCTTCCTCCCAGGGGCTGCTCACCAGAGGGCACTTCAGTTACAGGCCACAGTCCTCCCTGAAGGATAGAGAGGTGGGAGTCCAGGGGCCATGCCCAGCAGATCTGTGCACCCCCCTTCTTAACCCCATTGAAGGCACCCAGGACGCTGAATTTCCCACACAAGTTGCCCAAGCCCTGGTGTGTGCCATGCTAGCCTGGCAGGTGGCTGTTCATGGAGGGAGAGTGACTGGAACCTGGAGCTGGAGGATCCACACAGGTGCACATGAGGCCTCTCGGGGTGCAGGATGAGTTCGGGGAAAGAGAAGAGAGCAGGCTGGGGACAGTCCACCACGTTCTAGCATTGATCTCTGAGGAGTCCAGTTCTAATTTGAACCTGGCTTCCAGATTGTTATACAGGTATGTTTTTTTAATTAGGTTATTTTAGAAATACATACATATACATATACATATATACATACATATACGTATGTACACATATATGTACACACACACACACACGCACACACACTAGAGGCCCGGTGCACGAATTCGTGCACAGGTGGGG